GACCGTGGCAGACAGGTTAGAGAGCCAGGGGCCCAAATTCTTAGCCAAAAGGGATGTACCCGCCATCGTTGGGTGGATATCAATGCCGAGGCGATGAGACCGGCTTTCCCCAAAAGGCAACTCCAATTGTCAACAGAAACAACACCACTTCGAGGGCCCCAGCAGACAGCCAGCTGTTAGAAAAGCCGATGTCTGCTGAATGCTTCTGCACTGCTAGTGCTAGGATAAGGCCCAGAGAAGATGACAGTGTCGGCCATTTGCTAGCCAGCTTGCACACGGGCGGCGACTTGCAGCTTCAACACCTCGAGACTGTTTTTCCGCCGAACGTCATTACCACCCGCGTGAAGAACAATTCGACGGAAACCTGGCTTGTGGGTCATCATGAGCCTCAGATTCCCTTCAATATCACCAAGCTGGGCCCCAGGAAGCACCGGTTCAGTGCTCCTGGGATCTTAACACCTCTAACAATAGAGGAGCCAATTACCACACATCAGCGGACGCCATCGCGTCCGCAGCAGCTCTCGCAGCAGCTCTCCAGTGGGCCCTGCTTCCCGCCCGGCCGCGCGCGGGGCGCAGACGGACAGAGCGACCAGCGATTGTACATGCAAACAGAGAGGCCCAATGGGGAAACTACCAACAACACGTCGCCCTCTCCGAACAGTCACAAGCCATCACTATCCTGGTCTTGTCCAGCTGCGGAGGACGGCGGGAGGCTAGGCTCACACTAGTTCTCCTCTGCCTTTCCCTAAAGCAGCGCTCCGCTGTCCCTGAGGATACGCCAGGCTAATAGTCTAAGGCTAGCGCTAGCTCGAGACCCAGGCTCGAGACCGCAGCTCAAACTCACTGACACTGGAATCCAGAGCTACGACGACACCTACACTTCACACATCTATCACTTCCCCAGAGAAGGATCCCAGGGGGTTAGACTCGCCAATGGGCAACGCGAGCAGTACAGATGTGGAAGGAGAGACCGGCAGCCGCCATAGTAGCGAGGTTAGCGGCGAGCGAAGCTAAGGCTAGGCTAAGCGAGTACGGATCCGGCCGCACAACAGACTCCGAGACCAGAACAACAACCGATACCTAAACCTCAGCTGCAGGGTATACAGCTGACTCGGATGCTTACATCACAGTAGCTTGGGTGTACAAATGACGTGTTTGTAATGTGGTTTGTTAAGCAAACAGAGACAAGTGATAGGGGCAGCAAAGGAAAACACTCTCACCGGATACAGGAAGTCACGTCACGTCACGTTACAAAAGTAAAATCTGATGAAAGTCTCCCAGCCAATAAGCAAGAGCCTCCTGTATTGGCGTTATTGAGCTAGCGTGTTAGCATTAGCATCAGGATACAGTCTGGTTGTTGTGCAAGCCCCGTCGATCCAAGATGGCGCCCTATTCAATGAATGGTTGTGCGCAGTGGCGCTGTGGTGAACGGGGCCTTGGGGGGCTGAAAGAGTAGCGGAAGATCGCCATGAAAAACTCTCAAAGATCTATGGAAAAAACCTCTCAAGATCTAATGGAAACTCGCAAAGATCTATGGGGAAACCTCAAAGATGCTATGGGAAACTCTCAAAGATCTTGGAAACTCGCAAAGATCTTTGGAAATCCTCAAAGAATCTATGGGAAACGCTCAAAGATCTCTGAAACTCTCAAAGAACTATGGGAAACTCTCAAAGGATCTATGGGAAACTCTCAAGATGCTGAGGGAAACTCTCAAAGAACTTTGGGAAAACTCTCCTGTATTGGGCATCGGTCTAGGTCCTCCGGTTCGGTGCAGTGGATGATCTCCTCATAAGGCATTGGCGCCAAACACGCGGGGTGGTCTCACACCGTCTCACGCACGTGCACAGAGGGTCTCACGCACGGGCACCGAGGGTCTCGACGCACGTGCACAGAGGGGCTCGGCCGCGGCTCTACCATCTAGCAGTTCATCGAGCGTGGAAGTTAAGGTCGAGAGCCAGAGGAGCAGATTGTGGCACTAAAGTGTGATTTAAACAAAACCAAGGATTTTATGAAGCAAAAAAGTTCAGGATGACAAGGGACACTAAAATCCCCACAAAAGACTATCGTTTATTAAAGCTGAGGTTCTCTGTCAGGTTCTCTGGCAGCTGAGTCGAGCGTTTTAATATGCAGTTGAGTTCGATGGGGAATATTTCTGTTAGCCCACGTGAAGCTGTCTCAAATGTCTCATCTCTTCCACTCGCAAGGTCTCTCTCTGGTCTCTCTCTGGTCTCTCTTCTGGTCTCCTCTCTGGTCTCTCTCTGGTCTCTCTCTGGTCTCTCTCTGTCTCTCTCGGGCTCTCTCTGGTCGCGCTCTGGGTCTCGCTCGTGGTCTCTCCTCTGGTCTCTCGCGGGTCTCTCTCTGGTCTCCCCTCCGCGGGTCGCTCGCTGGTCTTTTCTCGCTCGCTCGCTCTCTGGGCTGTCTTTTTTGTCTGTCCTCTCTCTGGGCTCTCTCGGGGTCTCCTCTCTGGTCTCTCTCTGTCCTCCTCCTCTGGGCCGTCATGTGTTGAACAGTTTGATTTCTGATGTGTTCGTCGGTGAATCTCAACGCTGTAAAGTCCTTAATAGACTTTAGACTGCTGCGGGATTGTAGCGATACACAACAACTCAAGACCAGACCCAAGACCAGACCCACATCCCAAGAACAGACCAAACCAAGACCAGACCCAACCAAAGACAAGACCCAGACCGAAGACCGAAGACCAGAACCAGACCAAGGATCAGACACCACCCAAGACCAGACCAAGACTAGAGACACACCCAAGATAGACACCTGAACAAGACCGGACCCAAGACCAAAGACCAACCCCAGACCAGGGACCCGGGGGGGGGGGGACACACACCCAAGACCAAGACCCAGCACCAAGACCGACCCAAAACAAAAGACCAACCATAGACCAGACCCAGACCCAGTCCCAAGCCCCAAGACCAGACCCAGCCCAGACCTGGACGTTTTATTTGAGAAGGACTGTGGCAATGACTAAGACCAAAGCAAGGACCAAAACATGGGTCTAAAATCAGACGTACAACTAAACCCAACCGGGACCAAGACCCAGACCCGACCTGGGACCCAGACCTCCAACAGACCTTCTCCTCTGCTCCTCGTTGTTCTCTCTGGAGTGTCAAAGGTCTGCTCCGGATGATGGTCCGCCCACTGCTCCCCAAATGTCCATCATGACTCAGCATTGTAGCTCAGATTCTACCAGGGGACTCAGCCCAGGACAGGGATTCCCTGAGTTTACACGACTCGCTCTCTCTGGTCTCTCGCTTGCTCTCTGCTCTCCTCTGGGCTCTCGCTCTGCGTCTCTCTCTCTCGTGGGTCTCTCTCTCTGCTGCTGCTTCTTCTCTCGCTCTTCTCTCAAACTCCGCTTACTCTCTGGGCTCTCTTTAATCTTTAATCTTTCCTCTGTCTCGCTGGTCTACGCTAATCTCTGTTATCTCCCTTTCTACTGCTCTCGTCTCTCTCTCTCTCTCTGCTCTGTGGTCTCTCTCTGCCTCTCATCTCTCTGTCTCTCTCGCATCTCTGGGTCTCTCTCTCTCCCTGGTCCTCTCTTTACTCTCCTCTATCTGTCTCGTCTCGCTGTCCAGAAAGCTATCTGCTGGTATCGCTCGTTCTCTTTCTTCTCGGCTCTCTCACGTGCTTCTCTCTTCTCTCTCTGGCTCTGTGGTCTCTCTCTGGTCTCTCCTCTCAGGTGTCTCACTCTCTGGCTCTCTCCTCTGATCTCACTCTCTGGTCTCTCACCTCTGGTCTCTCTCTCTGATCTCTCTCTCCTGACGCTCTCCTTGTTCTGTGGTCCCTCTTGCCGCTCTCTGGTCTCTCCATCTTTCTGGTCTCTCGATCTCTATTCTGATCCAGGAACAGGAGAGCGGATCAGAGAGATCAGAGAGGACCAGAGACAGACAGAGGGAGAAAGACAGAGAGAGAGACCAGAGAGAGACCAGAGAGAGAGACCAGAGAGAGAGAGACTTCATAGAGAGACCAAAGAGAGAGACAGAAAGGATAGAGAGAGACCAGAAGAGAAGAGGACCAACAGAAAAAGGAGAGAGTCCAGAGAGAGAGATCAGAGAGAGAAGACCCAGAGAGAGAGACCAGATAGAGAGATCAGAGAGAAGAAGACCAGAGAGAGAGAGAGACCTGAGAAGAGACCAGAGAGAGACACAGAGCAGAGAGAGAGAGAAGGACAGCAAGTGGAGAGACCGAAAAGAGAGATACCAGAGAGTACTTAGGACAAGCGAGACAGAGAAAGAGAGAGAGAGTACAGAGAGACCAATGAGAGGGAGAGATACCCAGAGAGAGAGAGAGACGCAGAGAGAGAGAGCCGAGAGAGACCACAGAGCTGAGAGAGAGAGAGAGAGAGAGCAGAGAAAGTAGAGAACCAGAGATAGCGTAGACAGCGGAGACAGAGAAAGATTTAATGATTAAAGAGAGACCCAAGAGTAGAAGAGTAGAGAGAGCCAGAGAGAGAGAGAGCAAGGAGAGAGAGACCAGAGAGAGATAGAGCAGAGAGACAGAAACCAGAGGAGAGAGAGAGCAGAGAGAGGAGACCAAGAAGAGAGTAGTAACCAGGCGATCCCTGGTCCTGCTGAGTCGATGGTAGAATCTGAGATAAATGCAGGTCCATGTGACATTTGGGCGCAGGGAGGGACCCATCATGCCGGAGCAGACATACACCTCCGAGAGCGAGGAGCAGAGGAGACGGTCTGTCGTGAGGGGCTGGTGTCCAGGGTCCGGGTCCTGGCTCTTGGTCCAGTTGGGTTATTAGTGTAAGTCTGATTTTAGACCATGGTATGGTCTTGGATTTTGGTCTTAGTGAATTTTGACACAGTACTTCTCAAATAAAACGTCCAGAGGCTTGGGTCTGTCTTGTCTGTGGGTCCGTTGGGTCTGGGTCTGGGTCTGTTCTATTGTCTGGTCTTTGGTCTTGGGTCCGGTCCTTGGTGTGCTGGGGTCTGGTGGAGCATTGGGTGGGTGGTGGGGTGAGCAGGCCGGCTCCTTGTCTTTGGTCAGGTCCCCCCCCCCCCCCCCCCCCCCCCCCCCCCCCCCCCCCCCCCCCCCCCCCCCCCCCCCCCCCCCCCCCCCCCCCCCCCCCCCCCCCCCACCCCTCCCCCCCCCCCCCCCCCCCCCCCCCCCCCCCCCCCCCCCCCCCGTTGTGGGGGGGGGGGGGTGGTGGGTTGGGGGTTGGGTTGGGGGGGTGGGTGGGGGTGGGGGGTGGGTGGGGTGGGGCGGGGGGGGGGGGGGGGGGGGGCCCCCCCCCCCCCACCCCCCCCCCCCCCCCCCCCCCCCCCCCCCCCCCCCCCCCCCCCCCCCCCCCCCCCCCCCCCCCCCCCCCCCCCCCCCCACCCCCCCCCCCCCCCCCCCCCCCCCCCCCCCCCCCCACCCCCCCCCCCCCCCCCCCTCCCCCCCCCCCCCCCCCCCCCCCCCCCCCCCCCCCCCCCCCCCCCCCCCCCCCCCCCCCCCCCCCCCCCCCACCCCCCCACACACCCCCCCCCCTCCGCCCCCCTCCCCCCCCCCACCCCCCCCCCCCCCCCCCCACCCCCCCCCCCCCCCCCCCCCCCTTGTGGTCTTGGGGGTCCGGTCTGGGTTCTGGTCTGTTTCTTAGGGTGTGGGGGGGGGGTCTCTAGTGCCCTTGGCTGGTCTTGGGTGTGTGTCTGTATCTTGGGTCTGGGTTCTGGTCTTGCGGTCTTAGGTCTGGGGTCAGTGTCGTTTGGCTTGGGGCTGTCTTGGGTCTGGGTCTGTTCTTGGTGTGGGGTCCTGGTCTTGGGAACCTCTGGTCTTGATTTTTGTGTATCGCTTCTAGAAATCCATCACAGTCTAAAGACTGTTAAGGACTTTACAGAGTTTAGATTCACCGAGAACAACATCAGAAAATCAAGACAGTTCAGAACATGACGACCAGAGATGACCAGAGAGAGACCCAAGAGAGACCAGAGAGAGACCAGAGAGAGACCAGAGACAGACCAGAGAGAGCGAGGGGAGCAGGAGAAAAAGACCAAGAGAGACCAGAGAGAGACCAGAGAGAGACCAGAGAGCGAAACCAAGAGAGACCAGAGAGCAGACCGAGAGCGACCAGAGAGAACCAGAGAGAGACCCAGAAGAGACCAGAGAGAGACCAGAGAGGAGACCAGAGAGAGACCAAGAGAAGACCAGAGAGAGACCAGAGAGAGACCAAGAGGAACCAGAGGAGAGACCATCTTGAGACCGAGATTGCACGTGGGCGAACCAGAAATTTTCCCCATAGAAAACTCAATGCATATAAAACCAGCTCGACCTCAGCTGACAGAGAACCTGACAGCGAACAGAGCTGAATAAAGAGAGGATTGTGTGGGGGATTTGAGTGTCCCTTGGCATCCTGAACTTTGTTTTCTTCGTAAAATCCTTCGGTTTTGTGTTAAACCACACTTTAGTGCCACAAAACTATCTGCTCCTCTGGCTCTCGCGCGAAATCCGCTCTGATGAACTGCTCTGATTGGCACCGAGCGCGGGCCGAGCCCCTCGAGTGCAGCGTGCGTGAGACCCTCTGTGCACGGGCGTGAGACCCTCTGTGCACGTGCGTGGAGACCCGGTGTGAGACCCACACAAGCGTGTTATGGCGACAATGCATTATGGGAGATCCTCCCACTGCACGAACCGGGGAGGACCAGACGACTGCCCAAAGACAACGAAGTTCCCAAAGATCTGGAGAGTGTCCCATAGATCTTTGAGAGTTTTCCCATAAATCTTTGAGAGTTTCCCATAGATCTTTGAGAGTTTCCCAGCGATCTTTGAAGTCTTCCCATAGAGCTTGAGGAGTTTCCCAAAGATCTTTTGGAGAGTTCCCATAGATCTTTGAGAGTTTCCCATAGATCTTTGAGAGTTTCCCTGAGTCGTTGCGAAGTTTTCCCATAGATCTTTGAAGTATTCCCATAGGATCTTTATGAGAGGTGCAGGCGACTTCCGCGTAACTTCAGCCCCCATGCCGTCACAAAGCGCCACAGCAGCACAACCATATCATTGAATAGGGCGCCATCTTGGATCGCCGGGGCTTGCCACAAACAGACTGGATACTGATGCTAATGCTGAACTCGCTAGCTCAAAAGAACGCCAATAAGGAAGTGCTCTTGCTTATTAGCTGAGCTTTCATCAGATGTTGACTGTGGTAACGTGACGTGACGTGACTTCTGTATCCGGTGAGCGGGTTTCTGACTGCTATCACTCTCTTCACAGTTTGCTCTAACAAACACATTACAAATCCACGGTAGGTACACGAAGCTAACAGTGTAAGCACTCCGAGTCAAGCTGTACGCGCTGAGGTTTAGGTAGCGGTTGGTTTGTCTGGTCTCGGAGGTCGGTGTGCGGGCCGATCCGAACAGCTTAGGACTAGCCTAGCTTAGCCTAACCGCTAACTCGCTACACTATGGCGCTGCCGTCTCTCCCTCACTCTTTACGGCTCGCAGTGTATGCCATATGGCGAGTCTAAACCCTGGATCCTTCGCTAGAGGGTAGTGATAGATGTGTGAAGTGTAGTGTAGTCAGTAGCTCTGGAATCCAGGGTCATTTGTTAGAGCTGCGGTCCTACCGAGCACTGGGAGTCCGAGGCGAGTCCCGCCCTTAAGCATTAGCTACAGCCAGCCGTATCCTCAGGGACAGCGGAGCGTAACTTTAGGGAAAGGCAGAGGAGAACTACGAGCCTAGCCCCCAGGCCCCGTCCTCCGCAGCTGGGACAAGACCAGATAGGTGGATGCTTTTGTGCCTGTTTCGGCAGAGGGCGACGGTGTTGTTGGTTAGTTTCCCCATTCGGGCCTCCTCCTGTAGCATTTACGAATCGCTGGGCCGCTCTGTCCGGGCTGCGCCCCCAGCGCGGCCCGGGCGGGAAAAGCCCCACTGAGAGAGCTGTCTGAGAGAGCTAGCTGATAGAGCCGATGGGAGTCGCCTGATGTGCTGGTACTTGGCCTCCTCTATTGATAGACGGTGTTAAGACCCAGAGGAGCCCACTGTTCGTGCTCTCCCTGGGGCCAGGGCTTGGTGATATAGACGGGAAGCTGAGGCTCCTGATGACCCCACAAGCAGCGTTTCCGTCGAATGTTTTTCACGCGGAGTGGAATGACGTTCGGCGGAAACAGTCCGAGGTGATGAACGGCAAGTCGGCCGCCGTGTGCAAGCTGGCTAGCACAATGGCCCGACAAACAACTGTCATCTTCTCTGGGCCCCTACTAGCACAGGCCAGGCAGAAGCATGCGCAACACTCGGCTTTCAACCGCTGGCCTGGCCTGGACAGGTGCCCTCGAAGTGGTTGTTTGTTCATGTTGACAATTGGAGTGCCTGTTTGGGGAAAGGCCAGGTCTCATCCGCGAACGGATAGATATCGCACCAACGTTTCGGGTACATCCCTTTTGCTAAGAATGGTGGGCCCTGGCTCTAAAACTGTTTTCCTGGGCTGCCCGGCTCAACTGCCGTGCAGAACTGAGGGCCCGGTGCATAGCTGCTCTGCCACAACCTCTGAGCCCCCATCTGTTCATTACTATCCTCAGAACAGTCAGATGTGATACTATGTGTCAGGTGTGGGTGTAGTGCCTGTGTGCTGCGCAGTTACGAGCCTCAGACCTAGTCAATTGAAACTGTGTGTGTACCCCGCTTGAAAGTCTAAAGCACTATATCGAGGGGGGGGGGGAGGGGGGGGGGAAACGGACAGAGGCGGGTCAGACACAGTAACTTAATACAAGTTCAGACAGGACAGAAATAGTGCTAGCGGTAGGGTTTGTATAAATTGGTTTAATGAACGTCGGATCATCTCGTCTAAAATCGCTTCTCATCAAACGGACTTTAATTTAGAGAGACAAGGTCTTGGATCTGGTTATGCGCTCTCCGGAGACTTGGCTCCAAACAGGAACGAGTACTTATATTGAATGAGTGCACATCCTCGACGCATGTTAAGCTACCAGAAAGCCAGAGCCTACAGGTCCGGCGGTGTGTTTGACGATATACACACACCCAACGGGTTCTTAGGTCCCAAAACCAACAACGCTTTCACGCTTCGTTTGAAAACTAACACTTTCAATCACCTGTTCCTGGGTGGAGTAAACAAAAAGCAGTACTTATTTATAGTTTGTATAACCGACCTCCTGGTCCTTACAGCGAGTGCCTAAACAGAAATCTCTGATCGTCATGTTCAAACCTAGTTTTGGAATGGGAAACATAGTGATAACTGGAGACTTCAATATACATGGGGACGACAGCACTGAACAGCTTAAACCAAGCTTTCAGTGCCGTACTAGATGGTGTTGGTTATACTCATGAATGTCGAGGAACCTATCTCACATTCATAACCAACAAGACCTTGGACCGTGTCCTGACCTAACCTGGAGGATGTCTCCAATGTTGACATCCAGCCAAGCTCGGTTGCTGTCTGACCAGTTCTTGATCACCGTTGGAATCTCGGCCTGTGGGGAGGACATTCCTGTCCCAGCAAGATAAAACGCCTAATGAAAAGAAACCTTTAATGATTAATCTACTCACAAGGTTCAAAGAACTAATAACAGCCTATGTTTGAATACTAAGCTGGGGGCAGGGTGAACCGTTCACAGCAGCTGGCAGACCCCTCAGTCATTGACCAAACACGGTGGCAACACTATGAGTCGTTAAATCTGCAGTAAAATGGTAGCAGCTCCTTTAAAACAGAAACCATTAGGGATGAGATCATCGTCCGCCCAGGTACAGGGTTGCTACTCCACTCTTTAAAACAGGACGTCAGAAAATTGGAGAGGCTCATATCGCCACACCACTACCAACGGAGCCGTCCACCAGGGAGTGGAAAGCAGGGTCTCCGAAACTAACAAAAGGCCCGTCCGCGGGGCTCAACTCAATACTATGCAACTTTAATAGGAAGCGAATAAAAACAAAACAGTAATTGTTGTGTTGGGGCAACCGTCGCTAAACACAGACAAACTCCATAGGCGCAATCGAGCCTAAAATTCCAGAGCTCACGAGGGCAGTGGTTCGACTTGCTCCACGGCGTTAATAATAAATGACATACCATCCGTGAGAAGCCTGGAGAGGTTGCTCCTGCTGTTGGTAGTGGACAGGTTAAAGCGCTTACGTGACTTCCCACTTCAGACTCTTCAGTGGGCTTAATAAATGCATGCTGTGAGCCAAGCAGAGGTGAATCTCTGTGGTCCACATCCTCAAAAGCCTCAACTTGCAGATAGACGCAGTCCCAGACATGGCGTCTTCAAAGACATACTTCCTTGGATTATTGGAGCCTATCGGGACATATAATAACCATCCCATTACAATGTGGCTATGTCCCCACAAGCTTTTAAAACGCGTTAACATACCCCATCGGAAGAAAACAAACCTGGACCCAGAAATACTTACAAAACTACAGACCCGATCTCAAAACCTCACTTTTATATCTAAGAAATCCAGGAAAAACTTATAGCTGAGCAGACTCCGCGCCACCTGCCGGAAAATATTATTTGAAGTCTTTCAATCAGATTCTGAGCTCATCATAAGCACTGAAACGGCACTAGTCAAAGCACAAATGAATTACTACAAGCTGCCTGATAATGACAAGTGGTCAGTGCTGGCCTTCACTGGACCTTAGGGCTCAGCATTTGAGACACAATAGGGACCACAGCAGTCTACTCGCAGAGGCTAGAATGTGATATAGGTCTTAGAGGAATAGCCCTTGGCTGGTTTAAATCCTATTTAAGCAGGATCGAGATATCAACTGTCGTCAATGTGAAACAGACTCGACCCGCCTATTCCTGGGGATGGAATTCGTGTGCGCAGGTTCGGTACTCGGACCGATTGCTTTG